GTAGGCCTACTTAATATCCTCAATTTTCTCATAATTACTTACGTTACCTTTCATATCCTTCCCACACTCCATTTTCATATCCATACCTTTTTTATCTCGCACAATACATTCGCATAAATTCAAAAAATGAACAAAATACAACAAACAACAACATAATATTTACAAGCCTTCAGATCCTATGAAATTTCCTAGCCCTGACATCGTGAGGAATAGTGATATCATATGAAATTACTAAGGCCTAATACCCTTTAAAAAAATCCTGAAATCTGTACAAACCCTAGGCCCTAAAGTCTTAAAGATTTCCTAAAAATCCTTGAAACTCCCGGTCCCTGAGATTCTGAATAACCCTGAAAATCCGCGAAATTCCCTAACTCTGAGATCCTTAAAAAAAAAAAAAAAAAAAAAAAAAATCCAGTATCTCCGTGGAATCTCCAAACTCCAAACTCAAAAAAAAAAAAAAAAAAAAAAAAAAAAAAAAACAGAAATCCTTAAAGAAAAAGAAAGAAAAAAAAAACTAAAAATCCCGTGGAATTCCCTGCCCCTGAAATCTGGAGAGAGAGAAAAAAAAAACAGGATAATCCCAGGGGGCCTTTTACTGTTTGTCCCCTGGTCTCCTCTGGTCTCTTCTGGTCTCCTCTGGTCTCCTCTGGTCTCCTCTGGTCTCCCGCGGCCTTGGTTACGGCGTACTCACTGCATAGGTCCTGCGCTGGGATATTGCAGTGACTCATGACTGTACGTCGCTTAACAGTGTCAGTCACCGCGCTGCTTTACTGATTAGTGCTTTCTTTTTATATTTTTTATGCATGGTAATATATATGTATATATATATGTGTGTATATATAGATATAGATATAGATATAGACATAGAAATAGATATATAGATAGATAGATAGATAGATACAAACATATATGTATGTGTGTGTGTTTCTGTGTGTATGAATAGATAATATATATATATATATATATATATATATATATATATATATATATACATGTGTGTGTGTGTGTGTGTGTGTGTGTGTGTATTCATGTATATTTGTATATGTGTAAATGTATGTGTGAATATATGTACACACACACATACATACATACACACACACACACACACACACACACACACACACACACACACACACACACACACACACATATGTATATATATATATATATATATATATATATATATATATATATATATATATATATATATTATCTATTCATACACACACAGAAACACACACACATACATATATGTTTATATCTATCTATCTATCTATATATCTATTTCTCTCTCTCTCTCTCTCTCTCTCTCTCTCTATCTCTCTCTCTCTCTCTCTATATATATATATATATATATATATATGAATTTATATAAGCATACACACAAAAATATATTAATAATTACATACACATATAAATACATATACACATACATACACACATACACACAGAGAGACAGAGAGAGAGAGAGAGAGAGAGAGAGAGAGAGAGAGAGAGAGAGAGAGAGAGGGAGAGAGAGAGAGAGAGAGAGTGAGAGAGAGAGAGAGAGAGAGAGAGAGAGAGAGAGAGAGAGAGAGAGAGAGAGAGAGAGAGAGAGAGAGAGAGAGAGATTGGTAGATATATATAATTGTACATACACATAACTGTTTACATATCTGATAAGTAAGTATATATTTCTGCCTATAATTACACTGAAACAGCCCTCGCCATGCTTGACAACTAGTTACAAACATTTTCCTACTACTAGCTTTCAAGTGGGAAAATTCCCTGAAATTTCCTGGCACGTAAGAAAAGGGGTTAAACATTCTAGGAAAATTTAACTGTAGGTAAGAATTGTAAATTTAAGGAAGATATAGAATTTGATGAAGGAGAAACAGTAGGTTTGAAAAGACATACGAACAAATGGTTATCAGTGGTTGAGATATCGAACTAAGAACACCATTTCTCACTCTTTACTGTCCCAGCTGATAGGGGCGAGTGAGCGGACAGCTGGTAAAAGCGAAAAGGGAGGAAGGGAAAAGAAATAGGAGGGGAAAGGAGAAGGAAGAAGGGGTAAGAGGAAAGATTTGGAGGAAGAAGGAAGAAGGGATAGGAGGAAGGAACGGAAATTGAAGAAAAAGGTGGGAAAGTTATAAGAGGCGAGGAAGATACGGAAGAAAGTTAGGAAGGAGAGAGAAAAAAAATGAAAAGAGGAAGCTAGAATATAAGGGAGTAAGAAGTAAGGGTAGAGAAGCAGGGGACAGGGAGAGGATAAGGAGGAGGGGGGGAGGGGAGGAGGGACTGGTGGCAGGTGGCCTGACAGCTGGTGGTGGCAGTAGTTGGGTGACGGCCGGGCACAACCACCTCTCGGCGGTCAGTGTGCGCTTGGCAGTGGGAGGAAGTGCACGTCTCCCTTCCTGGCTTCGGTTCACAGGCGAGGAAGCTGGTTCTACGCGGGCGCTCCCAGGCTCACACACACCCCCACGCCTTCGGTTCGTCTCATTGCGGAGGATTATATAAT